GTGAGGCTGCCTCTGTGCCCTCTGGGAGTCTCTTTGGGGGCATTCCCAAACCCCTTTTTTTCAGCATTTCTTTCCTACCCTGAAGGGGGGGGGGGGGGGTGGTATTGCCCAGCACTGTTTAGGGAAACAGGCAATGTGCAGGCTCACAATGAGACAGGCAGGGGAGCTGCCTGTGAAGTGCCTGGAATGCTCAAACAGGACAAAACAAAAACTCCAGTCACAGTCTCCTGTGGGAGTCACCTGACTGTTCCCTGGCTATGTCACGCCCCGTTCCCCGTCTCTGCCCCGGACACAGCCTGCAACTGCTATCATTTCCAACCCACTTCCTCTGTTATGTGCAGGCTCACAATGAGACAGGCAGGGGAGCTGCCTGTGAAGTGCCTGGAATGCTCAAACAGGACAAAACAAAAACTCCAGTCACAGTCTCCTGTGGGAGTCACCTGACTGTTCCCTGGCTATGTCACGCCCCGTTCCCCGTCTCTGCCCCGGACACAGCCTGCAACTGCTATCATTTCCAACCCACTTCCTCTGTTCTTGGCAGCCTCAGCTCCAGCCCTTCCACGTGAGGAAAGCATCCCTTTTACATCCAGGGTATGCTCTGCTTAAAAAAAAAAAAGCAAAAAAAAGCCCACTTCCCCTGCCAAGTCCTGGGTGTGAGCAAATTACAAAGTTAAAATTAAACCGAAAATTTGTACTTTGGGTTTAGATGGTCTCCCAGTTGCACCAACCACTTAAAAATATCCCAACATTGGGGTTAGAGAAAGAGCGGTGTTTAAGAGCACTGGTTGCTCTTGCAGAGGACTTGGGTTCAGTTCCCAGTACCCACATGCAGCTAACAACTATTTGTAACTCTAGTTCCAGGGGATCTGATGCCCTCTTCTGGCATTGTAAGCATGGGTGTACTTACATACATGCAGGCAAAGCACTCATACACAAAAAAGAAAAATAAATCATTTTTAAAACTATCCTAATGCTGTGACTCTCTGTAGCCTAGCAACTGGGATTGCCCTGCTCACAAAGGGCCTTTTCAGCCCCAGGCAGGAGGCAGCCTTCATTGCCCCCTTTACAGAGCTCACATCAGAAGGGGCTAACACTTGCATTCTGCTCCCAGCAGTCATCAGTGAACAG